TCTGACACTATGTATCTGGAGTTACTGTCAGATCCTTGTCAACTGAAGAATCACAAGGTTCATAAATTTCGAAAGGAGAGCTTTATTTCACATAAAGGGTTGCAGCCTGCAAGGTGGCCATTCTACAGGCTGGGAAGTATAGCCTCTGGCAGAAGCTGAAAACAAGCAGTCTAAGGGAGGGGTAAAGGGAACAGTGATTTATGCTGAGTAGTAGCTAAGTATATATATTCAGTAACCTGTAGGAAGAGTCATGAATATTTATGAAAGGGGAAATAAGCACATGCACAATTGAGTTTCACGCCTTTTCATGGGACATGTTCAAAATATGGCAGCATTAGCACAATCCAAAGGGGCAGTTTTCAGCCCTCTGACGTTGAAGGGTGAAGCAGATGACACGAACATCCTCACTGCATGTCCTCTGCCATTCAGCAAAACAGTTGTGGAGGTGGTGGTTAGTGTTTAGGAAAGGATGTGTTGTGTAACTGGTGAGCTGTCACATTGAAACAGCAAAGGTGGAGGAAGAGTCTGGTCACAACCTCAGACAGTTGGCTGAAGGCAATGAAAGAATGAGCCATCTGTGTTTTGTTTTCCAGAGCTGGTTTCTGTTTACTCCTTAGGAAATAATTCTGGTTAAAGGTTAATAAGGAAGGGGCATACTGAGGCATGTCTGACTTGCCATTCTGTCATGGCTGGGAACTCAATTTTTAAGTTGGAGTCTGTTACCAAACTGAACCTGGGTCCACTTACCTGGTGCAGTAAAGCCAAACACCCACATTGAGGTTTGCAGTGAGAGAACGGAGGGCATTTCTTTGCAGGGCACTAAGCAAGGAGAATCGGCAGCTCATGCTTAAGACCAAACATACCTGATAGCTTACAGGAAGAGTTTTTAAAGGCAGGGGAACATTTCAGGAAAGCAGAAATTACAGGCCAAATTGCAAATCCCTACATGGAGGTTTTATACATTGATTTGGCTTGAAAAAGGTGGGATATCTTGAAGTGGGGGTCCTATATGGCATAGGTGGATTCAGAGATTATTTGATTTGCAGTTGGTTAAGGAAACAAAATTTTGTCTAAGAACTTGGGGTCAGCAGAAGGAATATTAAGGTTTGGCTTGTGGGCGTGACTTTCTCCAGACCCTTCAGAAAGCAATCTAGAGCAAACAACGGAAGTCAGGGCTCAGTCCTCAGGGGCCCCCTTATCTGAGCTCTGCTTGACAGTGGTTGGCATTTTCCATCTGGTTGTGGTGCAGGTTTCAGAAAAACAACTCAGGGACATATGTTAAGATGTTATCTTTAATTTCTACAGGGAATCAAACATCTTGTGGCTCTAACCTACTTGGGTGGCTATTGTTGTAAGCTATTTCTTTGTTATCAGGTTGCTCATTTACTTCTAAAGGCTAGCTAGATGCCTGGAATTTCCTTTGAAGAGATTCAAGATTTTTCTTTATTTTCATGCTTGAAGGAGGGGAAGGTATGTGGCAGCTCACTAAGAGAGGCCCCCGCTCCATCTCAGTTTCATTAAGTTGGTTGGAGGGCTTAGAATTTTCCTGTTATTTCTCTTCCCACAGGTTTAGTCCCACAAAACTAGCCCCTACTTCAGGTACCAAGCATAAGCCCCAGGCTGTAGCCTGTGCTTCTGACCAACTAGGACTTTAAATCAGGATACCCTTGACCCTCCTCCCCGGGTTCGATTAATTTGCTGGAGCAGCTCACACATTTCAGGGAAAACTTTACTTACATTTACTGGTTTATAATAAAAGATATTACAACAGATACAGAGGAACAGCCAGATAGAAAAAATGCATAGGGCCAGGGAGCTTCCATGCCCTCTCGGTGCACACTGCCCTCCAGGACGCTCCACGTGTTCAGCGATCCAGAAACTCCCTGAACTTAGTCCTTGGGGTTTTTATGGAGGCTTTATTATGTAGACATGATTGATTACATCGTTGGCCATTGGTGATCAAGTCAACCTTCAGCTCCTCTTCCCTCTCTGGAGGTGTCAGGGTTGGGGTAGGACTGAAAGTTCCAGCCCTCTAATCACATGGTTGGCTTCCCTGGCAACCAGCCCTTATCCTGAGGCTATCCAGGAGCCCCCAGCCCTCAGTCATCTCACTAGCATGTAAGAAGATAACACTTTGGAAAGCTTAAGGATTTTAGGAACTGTATGCTTATTAGATCACAATATTATATTCCCACATAGAGAACTGCTGTGTCCCTAGATTTATCATGTGCTACTTCTAATTTCTCCACGTAGGACTTTCTGATAGGATTGATTCCTAGCTATCTCTGACTTTATAGCCCTAGTCCCTGTAATTTTCAGCCCTCTATTCTACATTTTTGTGGGGGAAAGATTACCTAGGTGCCGAGGCAAGAGACTGAAGGCACAAACTGTTTCAATGTAATAAAGAAAATAGTTAAAATAAGAATAGTCATAATACAAATTAGATATAGAGAGGATCATGGACAATTATCAATCATTATTATAAACATTATTAATCATTAGCTTTTAATATTACTCTTTGTTGCATTACTAATATAACCTAGGAATAACCGGCGGGTATAGGGTCAAGTGCTGAAGGGACATTGTGAGAAGTGACCTAGAAGGCAAGAGGTGAGCCCTCTGTCATGCCCACATAAGGGCCGCTTGAGGGCTCCTTGGTCAAGCGGTAACGCCAGTGTCTGGGAAGATACACATTACTTAGCAGACTGTGAAAGGGAGTCTCCTTTCCTTGGAGGAGTCAGGGAACACTCTGCTGCACCAGCTTCTTGTGGAAGGTGGGATATTATCCAGGCCTGCCCGCAGTCATCCGGAGGCCTAAACCCTTCCCTGTGGTGCTGCGCTTCAGTGGTCACTCTCCTTGTCCACTTTCATGTTCCTCCCGTACTCCTGGTTCCTCTTTGAAGTTCGTAGTAGATAGCGGTAGAAGAAATAGTGAAAGTCTGAAAGTCTTTGATCTTTCTTATAAGTGCGTGCTGACATACGCTGCCCTCTCTCTCCCTGCTGCGGCTACCTGAAAGGGAAGGGCCCCCTGTCCTATGATCACGTGACTTGCTTCACCTTATCACTTAGAAGATTCATCCTCCTTACCCTGCCCTGCTTGTCTTGTACGCAGTAAATATCAGCGCGCCCAGCCGTTTGGGGCCACTACCAGTCTCCGTGTCTTGGTGGTAGTGGTCCCCTGGGCCCAGCTATTTTCCCTTTATCTCTTTGTCTTGTGTCTTTATTACAATCTCTCCTCTCCGCACACGGGGAGAACACCCGCTAAGCCCCGTAGGGCTGGACCCTACATGTTTTCCTCTGTTTGAAGGCAGTCCAATGTCCTATCTCCATTCCTTTCAGTTGAATTCAATATATATTTACATCAGATTACTGAGCACTATTTATTATGTCTTAATGATGGGTAAACAATTATGAATGCAATACCATGGACTTTACAATGTAGTTTGGGGACACAGATACTTAAACAGATGATTTTCAAGTTGTTGGTAAGAACTAAGGTGGTGGTATACATAGGGAATAGCCAGTAACTGAACAAACGTCTGTATTAAAGGCAGTCATAAGATACCAAGAAACAAAACAAAACAAAAAAACAAAAAATGAACACTCTTTCTTTGGAGTTTATAGGCAATTTGAGGAGATACTGAATTAGCCCATCAGCAAGGATTGAAAGTTCCAAGCAGCAGAATTTACTTAGTTTATCGTTTACCCACGTCTGGTCAGGACTGAGTATCACAAAGCTCTTAAATTAGGGAAAATGCCCTATGTCTAAATACAATCTCTTTTTCTTTAACCCAAGCTGCTTCTTAGTAAAAGTAGAAGCACAATTTACCGTCACTTATGAATAATTATAAAATCCAAATTGTTCTTTCTGGAGTCCAGAAAGGGACCCTGTGGCTATTGATGTACTGTACATGGTTACAAGTGTGCCTGGAGACTGTCTCAGCTCTTGGGACAACCAGAGTCCCTTGTAAGCAATCTTACTTCACTACAGTGGACCATACAAATATCTTATTTTCTGTGTGCCACAATATGAGAAAAGCTGGAAACCATTTCTTTAGACCATGTGCTTTAACCTTTCTTCAGAACTGGGCTAGTTTTCCAAGCAGTCATTGTTGTATCTTATTAACCCTATTCCAGTTCTTTATGTAATAATGAGCTTTATTTGAAGAATTCTGAAGAGAAGATAGGACTCACAGAAGAAACTAACTTCTTTTGAAGCTAGAGAGAGGATGATTCTTAGGTCTCCAGTGAACAGTTGATTTCCTAAGTAGCTACTTTTGGCCATCAGTAGTTGAGTGCTTGAGTGCCCAGCATAATGCAATTAATACTCTACTTCCAAAACTTTTGTATAGGCATTATGAATAGTGGGCTGTGTGAGTAGCTGGCATACTAGGCAAATGAACCCATAAATATTATGTATTTTAGTATTACTCCTTTATTTGTTTTAACAATAACCAAAAAAGTTAGTCCTCATTATGTGCAAAACATTGGTTAGCTTAAAAAGTTTATTACTGAGAAGATACCTGGTACCTACCCCTCACAGAATATATAGTGTTTTAGAGAAGACAGATAATTAAAGAAGTCATTGCAATGTGGTATGATTGGTGTTATGAAGAACATAAAGAAGAAACACTTACTGAGATTGCAAGACAGTTATATATGGTTACTTAGAGATAAAATTATTAGGACTGAATTGGGTGGCTCTTGTTTCTTTTAGAGTAAAATACAACTTTTGGTATGATTTAGAAGAGTTTCAACTGAATGTTACTTCCTTACTTATTCATCATAACCTGAGTAATATTGCAACTTACAATGCCTCTTATGTAATGTACAGTTTGCCCAAGTAACCTAAAAAACATTGAGACTTTCAATTCGTATTTTTCCCTGACCAGCAGGTAGTCCTAGTTTTAATGTAGTATGCTTTTTACTGGTAGCTTTTAATTGTAGATGTGATTAAATGATGCTACAATTGAGTATCCTCTTATCTTTTGTATTTTTAGGGAAGGTATTCATATAAATCAAGAATTACTGCAAATATCTCCTTCTATCACAGAGCAGTTCATTGAGCTGTTGTGTCAGTTCAACCCAACCCAAGTTATAGAGACTCTGCAAGTTCTTGAGTGCTACCGTCTGGAAGAAACTATTCAGGTAAGACAAACAATGTAGAAGAGACAAGAGTAAACTATTCTTAACATTCTCCGTTTGTCAGATGATCAAAGAAAAGGGGAAAAAATATATAATTTCTTTTTTAAACCTTATAAATTCTTAGTTGAGACACTCTCCTGAAAACAAAAGTCAGATTAACAAAAGAAAAACAAATAGAGGTTTATTGATATGTGCTATACCCATCATATAGGAGAGACCTCAGCTCAAAAGTATCTTTCTCAAGGCAGTGGCTTAGGGGCTTTGCTTAAACAGCATTTTAACAAAGAGCCTTAAATCTTACATAATGACAAGACAGGAGAGAGCAGTTCCAGCCTAGTAAAAAAAGGTGGGAACATGTATGGGAAGATAGTCAGCTGTGTTCCCTGATTCCTCCGGTGCCTGCTGGTACCTTCTATGGGCCAATAAGCAAGTGCTATCTCCAGTTAAGAATGTATGTCCTGCTATCAGGCAGATAGAGGCGGGGGCAAAGGATTCCTCTGCATTTTCATTGTCTTTAACTTAACAATCCTCAGTATTTGGGGGAAATGTATTTTGGTTTTGTTCGGTGCCCCCTTTGACATTTTACTTTTAGAAAGTTTCACATATTAAAAGCCAGGTGAGTAGCTCTGGAGAGATTTGGGTTAGTGATTTTGACATAATAGATTGGCAGAGGGGAGAAAATCATAGATTGGAACAAGTGGAACGGAACGAATTCAGGTACATTGTCCCATATCTTATTGAAACAATCTCTTGGTTGTGAAAATAGGTCAGTTTAGTTAAATAGTTGCATCTCACTTTAGGAGGTGGTGTGGTAAGTGGGTTTCCATCAAAGTCAGTCAGGTATAGGCACATAGGCATTTAATAAAAGTCATTTCTGTAGAAACAAAAAGGAAACAAAAGTTAATGTTCGGAGCAGTCTCTAAGCTTGTCTCTCAGCGTTCCAGAGAACTTTCTGTCCATAAATAAGTTGTTGTGGTGATTCCTCCAAAATTTATATCAAGTTGTCTAGCTTTAGTGTGCAGAGCTTCATGAAAAGCAGTTTTAATTTCAGTGATTCCAAGTCAGAAAAATGGAAGAAAATGTTCAAATATTAGTTTGGAGAGTTCGTCAGATATTGGAGGAAACTAAAAATTCAGGATATAGTCAAATTGCGAGTAAATAATAAAATCTCAAAAACTGTAGTTAGAATCTCATAATGTTTACTGTAGTTTTTTTTTTCTGAAATAGTTGTTTCTCCAGTTACCCCATTTTTACCAAAAATAATCAGAGTAAGTTCAATTGACTTGTAAAATAAGTTTAGTGTCATTATATTTATTATTTACATAATACTATTTTTTATATAAGTACTACAAGATTATTTATATAAGTACTACAAGAGTAGTGATTGGCCATTTAGGCTTTTAAAAAATCTGCTCTGCTGAAAGTTACAAGAAATCTCACAGTAGACCTTTAAAAATCTCTCATCTTCAGGCTGGGAAACGAAGCCGTGGGCTTGCCATCATCAGATTTTACCTGTAGTACCGAGGTATACTGTTTTCTTGAGGCCCCCAAATATTCTGAAGTTCCTGGGCTTCTCAGGAAGTGACATTCTTTACTTACTGCAAGTCCAGGAACCCTGTAAGCACGCCATCTTGACAAGGGACCAGACCAGTTTTTCCAAGGACTTTATTGCCTCCTTAAAGTTAAGCTTAGTTTCTTAAAGCAGTCTGGTTATATCTAAAAATAATGACATCCCAGTCAAAGCCTTGGTAATATAACCCGTGTTTCCAATTTTTCTGCTACAAACAGAGCAAATTCTTACTGAATTCATGAAAATAACTATGTTGCCATAGAATATGAATATTCAGTTTCCAAATTTGGGAAGGATCAGGTATAGAAAAAAGTAAATGTTTTAATTTTGCCACAAAAATATACTTCACCAAATTATTGTAATGCTATGAATAGCCCCCCCAACCCCCGCAACCCCCACCCCAGAAAAAAAAGTTTTCTTAACTCTGGAAAGCAACATATAAAAAGTATCAGCAGTGTTTCAAACAAGTCATAAAAAATTATTTCAGTCCACTGTAATTAATTCTTATTTTTCTTAATGTCAGGTTAGCCATGTTATGAGGCCAGGTTTGTTTGCTTTTTCCATTGGGGTTTGGGAAATTTTTACCCAATTCAGTGGTAATATGGTGTCACAGTTGTCAGAAACCTGTATTCAAGAATGTTTGTTGCACTCTTTTTCATGACCTCCTTGAAGATGCAACACTTTAGAATTTGCAAGGAGATTTCAGAAAAAAAGCATCAAAATAAAGTAATTAACTGTGGACAACATGACTTAAAATGGCTGTGATTAAAGGCATAGTTGTCAAAGATATTTGGTTATTTTCTGTGGCCTACAACAATTTAACATAATAACCCAAAATATGACTGATAACATATACCAAGACATAACCAGATTTCTAGGAATCTCAGAATTTTGGAACACATATTAATAACACTGTATACAAATCCAACTCAAAGAAACATCATTTCTTATGTGACAGTGTTTCCCGTATAATTTAGCACATCAAATGAGCTGGTTTATGATCTCTCTTTTGTATGCCTCAGGGACCCTCTGCAACATCCCAATATTAGGTTGAGGTTAAAAAGACTCAGTTTTAGAATCTGAACTTTGATTTTGAGAAGCCTGTCAAATACGTCAAAGGTTTAAAGGACTGGATCAGAATAGGATCACAGTTCACTGTAAAATAATGATAATTCATAAGTCAAAGACATAATTAAAAGGGAGACTCACATATGACGTTACCTGTGTAAGTTTATACCTACTAAGTGGTAGCCCCTGAGATTGAACCCACATAGTCTGACTCTATAGTGCATGCTCTTAATTGCTGTGATAAACTGCTTCTCCATTTATTTTAGTAAAGTCAGCTTTATAGAAATTGTTATTGATCAGCATGATAGAAATTCTAACCAACTCAATAAGCATAGAAAAAGGAACATAGTAAAAATATTGAAAGGAGACCAAACTCTTGTTTGCAGACACAGATGGCTAGATAGTCCTGTTGTGCCATAAAACTTAATAGACTAAATAGCAATTCAGTAACTTTAGCATATTCATTGCCTTAATTCTCTTCCCTTGTTTTCTCCTGTTTCTAAATGAAAATGTACAGACACACACATTATTTTCTGTAACAGGTTAGTATGTTTCCCTTTTAACATTTATTTTTCAGCTATTACGTATCTCTTTTCCTTTCCTATCAACACTCCTGAAACAGTTGCCTGTATTTTCTTCATCTATCTCCTGAATTGCCCCCACATACTTTTAAAAAATGTTTAATTATGAAATATTTCAAATTTACAGAAATGTGCTGAATATCAACTATGTATATACCCACCAACCAAATTTTACAGTTAACATTTTGCCATACTGGCCTTAGATCTTTGTTATCTTGTTGTCCTTGTTGGTTTATATTAAAAGTAGAGCACCCATTATCTTATTCCCCCCTCTCCCCGAGAGCTCCACCATCCTGAACTGGTGTTTATCTTTCTGATCTATGTTTTGAATTTTTTCTATATGTGTATGTATCTATAAAATACATATTAGTTTTATATGTTTTTAAAATTTGTATTAATATACAGTAGATATTTTATTATAAATTGCTTTTTTTAAACCAATTTTTTTTTTGAGACAGTCTCTCTCTGTCATCTAGGCTGGAGTGCAGTGGCGTGATCTCTGCTCACTGCAACCTCCACCTCGCAGATTCAAGTGATTCTCCTACCTCAGCCTCCCAAGTTGCTGAAATTATAGGCGCGCGCCACCGTGCTGATTTTTGTATTTTTAGTAGAGATGGGATTTCAGCATGTTGCCCAGGCTGGTCTTCAACTGCTGACCTCAAGTGATCCGCCCACCTTGGCCTCCCAAAGTTCTGGGATTACTGGCATGAGCCACTGCATCTGGCCACTTTTACTAAATTAAAAAAAAAATTTTATACATATAGATCTACTTCATTCACTTAATGATCTTATGGTAATCTATCAAATGAATGTGCCAATTTATTTCCCTCTTGGTAAACATTTAGATAGTTTCCAATCTTTTGCTATTATAAACAGCGTTACAGTGTACATCCTTATATATATCTTGTGTGCCCATATGAGGTTTGTCTAAGTAATATTCTTGGAAATGGAATTGTTTAGACAACAAAGTAGTGTAGTTATACTGATATTGCCAAGTTGATTTACAGATTGTTTCTATTCTCATCAGCAGTGTCTGATATTTGCTATTTTTCACATCCTTGCTGATGCCTAGTATTTTTAGTCTTCTTAATTTTTGCCATGGTGGATATTAGTGATTACTCATGACATTAAACATCTTTCCATATGTTTGATGACCACTGGAATTTTCTTTTCTCTGAATTATTTATTCATGTCATTTGCCAATTTTTTCTGTTGAGTTTCTGTGGTTCTCTTACTGAGTTCTAGAAGTTTTTTTCTGATTTCCCAATCTCCAATCCTTTGCTAATTTTATGTGCTGGAGATACTTTCTTCCAATTTATTATGGCACATCATTTAACTTGGCTTTTAGTGACTTCTGTTTTAGTTTACCAGTATTTATGTCTTAAGTGTGTGTGTGTGTGTGTGTGTTTCCTTTCCTATTTTAATGGAATAAAGGATATTCTCTTATATATATAAATTTTATAGTTTAGCTTCTTACATTTAGGCTTTTAATTCATCTGGAGTTAATTTTTGCAAGCTGATCAAAAGAAGGATTTTTATCTTTTCTTCCACATGATGGCTAATGGTTCATGTGGCATTTTATTATCCATTCCTCACTGGTTTTTAATGCCATACTGCCATATACTAAACTCCCAAATATACATGACTCTGTTTGTGGGTTCCATTCTCTTCATTTGATTGTCCTTCCCTATACCCATACCACATATTTTAATTAATACAGCTTTTCAATAGATTTATTATTTGGAAAAAGAATCCTCCCTCTTTATTCTTTTTCTTTAAAATGGTTTGGCTATTTTTAGTGTCCTACATCTCCTAGTATTCCACATTAATTTAGAGATCACATTGTCAAGTTTCTTTAAAAGAAACAAACTCTCTGGAATTTTGATTTATGAATACATTGAATTTATAGACTGATTCAGAGAGAATTGACATCTCTAAAGTGTTGATTCTTCTCTTTCAGGAAAATGTATGCCTTTTAAAACAGCCTTTTCTGCTCTTTGGTGAGGTTTTATAGCTTTTATATAAGGTTCCTGCACATATTAAATTTGTTCATAGTTACTTTATAGTTTTTATTAATATTGTACAAGCAGATTTTTTGAGATGACCTTTTTTTATTGATTGCTGCTGCTTATTAAAATGTTACTAATTTTTGTACATTGTTTTGTATGGAGCAACCAGGCAGAATTCTTTTAAAATTCAATTTCTAGATTATTATGACAATAAGACTAATGGCAGTTTTATTTTAATTCCAATCTTGTAGTTTTTTCTTTCTCTTATCAGATGTCTAGGATCTCTAAGTCACTGGTGAACAGAAGCAGTGATAGTGTGACTGCTAACCTTGTTCCTGATTTAAAAGGGAACATATCTAATATTTTACATTAAGTATGATATTTATCATAGGATTTTGGTAGATAATTTTTATTAAGAAAATGTTATCCCCAGTTTGAGTAAGAGTGTTTTGTTTTTGTCATGAATGGGTGCTGTATTTTGCCAAATGCTTTTTCTGCATTTATTGAGACTATGATGTTTTTTCCTTTGTTCTGTTAAACTGTTATTGTTTGTTGTCTTTTTTCTTCTAATAAACATTTTTTCTAACTTGTTAATCTTTTCAAAAAAGCTACATTGGAGTTTGTGAAATCTCTCTATTGTTTCCCTATTGTTTGCCGTCATTTTCTGTACTTTTTTCCTTTTTTCTCCCTAGCCTAACGGATACTTCTTTTTTACTAATTAGAGATTTTGTTTATTAATTTTTATTAATATTTCACAAGTTGATGTGTAATGTTTTCATTGTCATTTTCAATTTTTTAATAATTATACTTGATCAAGTTCTAGTTTGTATTGTTACTATGTATGTATATACGCTGGCTTTTCTCCAGTGTGTATACCTAATTCAGGTGTGTAACATTTTAAAAATAAATAAATGAAAAAAATGAGTGAATTTGGTCCAGTTAGAACTGCCAAATGAGCTACTATATGACTAGAAAGTCAGTTATTTGCACATTATACTGTAAAGTATCATACTAATAAGGTATAAATTCATTATTATCATATGAATTTTTTTCATCCTCAATGGGATCTTCCCACTCCACAAACAAGATTGGTGAAAAAAAATATTTATCTTTTTTATTTCCTAGATTACTCAGAAGTATCAGCTTCATGAAGTCACTGCTTATCTACTGGAAAAGAAAGGAGATATTCATGGTGCCTTCCTAATAATGTTAGAGGTAACATTTTACTATGTTTCTTTCATCATGTTTCTGTCTATTCCTCTATTCATTCATGAATCCATCTTAATTTCTTATGTTTCAAAGCAAGTTGCAGACAGTAATATATTTTACCCCTGAATATTTTTATCATGCGTAGCATTAACGAGAGTTTAATATTTTTTTGCGGTACTTTATTAAAAGGTAAAATGTACAACAGTAAAAAGAAATGTCATAAATGTACCATTTGATGAGTTTTTGACAAGTATTTTTATGTATATACCCCAATTTGTTTGCCCATTCCTCCTTCAGGGGACAGTTGGGCTGCTTCTACCTTTTGGTTGTTGTGAACAATGCTGCTGTGAACATGAGTGTACAAATACCTTTGAGTTCTTGCTTTTATTTCTTTGGGATATATACCCAGAAGTAGAATTGTTGGATCAAATAGCAATTCTATTTTTAATTTTTTGAGGAATTGCCCTACTGTTTTCCATAGCAGCTATGCCACTTTACATCCCTACCAGCAAAACTCAAGGGTTCCAGTTTCTTCGCATTCTTGCTAACTCTTACTTTCTGTTTTCTTGATTAGTAGTCATCCCGATAGGTGAAGTTTTGTTTTGTTTTGTTTTGTTTTTTAATGTTGTCATGTGGCTAGGAATAGATTAGGGGTATCATATTTATATTTTAAAATGTTCCATATTGGCTTCTTGTTTCTTTCTAGCCATATGATTCTAAAATAAGCCAGGAAGAATCATCCACAGAGGCTTTGTGTAGGCTTTTAATCTCTTTTAATCTGTAAATTACTCCTATACCTCTTTTTTTCTTGCAATTTATTTGTTGACAATACCATGAACCTAGTTTTAAGGAATAAATAAGAGTATTTTTGACATTGATGAGAGGAGAAACAGGAGATCTTTGTGGGGAATGAGGCCATTATTCGTAAAAGAATACAAAGCGAAGAAGTATGGATTGCTGAAAGAGTGCCAGCAGCTTCACTAGGGCTCCACTGTGTAACATATAGGCAGGTCAGGCGAGAAACAACGGCTAGGTCCAGATTTGGACAGATTTTGTTGGACACACTAACGAGTTGTGACTAATCTTCTTATCACATGGGATCAAATAAAGGTTTTTAAGCAAGAAACTGATTTGATGTTTGTTTCATAAAGACTGCTCTGGTGACTGTTGGGGGATGGAAGGCAGGATACAGAGAAGAGGGAGGTAAAACAAAGCAGACAATACTTGGGAGGCCATTGCAATGGTACAGGTATGAGTCTCTGAGAGCTTGAACTGGGTGTGTCAGTGGCAATGGAGATAAGAGGGCAAGATTTGAGAAGTTATTGATCATTTGCATATGGTATGAGGTAACTGAGAGGGAGCAGTTGATGATTTGAGCTTATAAGCTTTTTACTCATAACCCAGTATATTATACCCCTTTTACTCATAACCCAGTATATTAGTCTCTTTTGTGTTACTCTAAAGGAATACTTGAGGCTGGGTAATTTTTAAGGAAAAGAGGTTTATTTGGCTCACAGTTCTGCAGACTATGTTAGCATCTAGCATCTGCTTCTGGTGAGGACCTCAGGAAGCGAGGGTAAAGGAGAGCTGATGTGTCACATGGCACGAGAGGGAGCAAGAATGGGGTTGGGGGAGGAGTGCCATGCTCTTTTAAACATCCAGCTCTTGTGTAAACTAACAGAGGGAGAAGTCGCTCATTACCACAGCGGGGTGCACCAAGCCATTCGTGACAGATCCACTCCCATGACCCCAGACACCTTCCACTGAGTCCCACCTTCCAATGTTGGGAATCACATTTCAACATGAGATTTGGAGGAGTCAGATACCCAAACTATATCACCCAGTATTAATTGGATTCCCTTATCCAAAGCATAGATAAATCCTGATCCTCATTCCTGTGCCTAAAGAATATAAGTGGTGACTGTGGCCGGATGACAGAAGCAGAGTTGGGCAAAATGAGTGCTACTTGATCTTTGGGTCCCTTTTCATACTGCTAGCTACACTGTCTGTAAACACAAGATTTTGCTTCTGACTGACAGTAAAGGACTGTTCTTAATAACCTTGTAGTTTTGAGGGTGTTACCTTTAAAATATGTTAATTCAAGTATTGAGTGGGTAGAACTACAAAGTGTTCCTTTTTAACTCCTATGTTCTTTTTGTCTCCTAGAGACTACAAAGCAAACTTCGGGAGATAACACATCAAGGTGAAAGTAAGTTCTTAAATATAATTACAACATTTTTCATCCATGGACCCCATGTTTTAAAAGATATGTAATAAATTGCATTTATTATGTAATAATTACACTTGTATATATGCATAATTACTGTTTATTCGTTTTAACATGGATCCAAAGAGTTCATAACAGGAAATCATAGAAACCATTGTGGCTTTGTGATGTTAATTTTCAATGGAGTTAAATATACAGAAAATTAGGCACTGTTTGTTGGTTATCTTTATTTTTTTTTTGAGACAGGCTTTCGCTCTATTGCCCAGGATAGAGTGCAGTGGCACAGTCTTGGCTCACTGCAACCTTCGTCTTCCAGACTCAAGCAGTCCTTCTGCCTCACCCTCCCAGGTAGCTGGGACTACAGGCGCATGCCATCACATTGGCTAATTTTTGTATTTTTTGTAGAGATGGGTTTCGCCATATCACCCGGGCTGGTTTCAAGCTCTTGGCTCAAGTGATCTGCACACCTCAGCCTCCAGAGGTGGTGAGATTGCAGACGTAAGCCACCACGCTAGGCTGGTTATCTTTTTGTTAATAAAAGTTTGGTTGTGTTTAAATGAGGTGTATAATAACATCCTAAAAATTAATGTGCCAAACAACAGCAAATCAGAGCTTCTAATTAGTAGGACGTTGAACATACGCAGTGTTTCCAAACTGAATTTATACAGTTTTAACCCAAAGCAGTAAAAGTTGACAGTTTAGTATCTTGAGTGGCTTTGTCCTCAGCAAATATAAAATTTTCATCGTATTCCTTGATATTTCAAAGAAAAATTATTTTAAAAAATTGTGGTGGCGAGGCGTGGTGGCTCACACCTGTAATCCCAGCACTTTAGGAGGCCGAGGCAGGCGGATCACCTGAGGTCAGGAGTTCGAGATCAGCCTGGCCAGCATAGTGAACCCTGTCTCTACTAAAAATACAAAAATTAGTCAGGCATGGTGGCACGCACCTGTAGTCTCAGCTACTTGGGAGGCTGCGGCAGGACAATTGCTTGAACCTGGGAGGCAGAGGTTGCAATGAGCCGAGACTGCACCACGGCGGTCCAGCCTGGATGTCATGACAGAGCAAAACTCCATCTCAAAAACAAACAAACAAACAAACAAGTTATGGTAAAATATACCCTAACATAAAATCTACCATTTTTAAATGTACATTTCAGTAGTATTAAGCATATTCGTGTTATTATACAATCATTACCCCCATCCACTTCCAAATTTTTTCCTCTCCCCAAACTGAACATCTGTACCTATTAAGCAACAACTCCCCTGTTCCCCTCTCCTCCTAGCCCCTGGCAAACACCGTTTTACTTTCTTTTTTCACCATTCTTTTTCTGAATTTGATTACTCAAGTATCTCATATGAATGAAATTATATAGTGTTTGTCCTTTTGTGACTTGTTTATTTAGCTTACCATAAGGTTCATAAATGTTGTAGCATGTGTCAGAATTTTCTTCCTTTTTAAGGCTGAATAAAATTCCATTGTATGTATAGACCACGTTTCATTTATTCATTCAGCCTTCAATGGACACTTGGGCCACTTCCACTTTTTGTCTGTTATGACTGATGCCACTATGAGCATGAATGTACAGTATCTCTTCAAGACCTGGCTCTCAGTTCTTTTGGGTATATAACCAGAAGTGGGATTGCTGGATCAAGTATTAACTCTGTTAATTTTTTGAGGAATGACCATACTTTTTTCCCTAGTTGCTGCTTTATTTTACATTCCCACCAACAGTATACAAGGTTTCCAATTTCTCCACATCCTAACATTTATATTCTGTTTTTTTTTATAGTAGCTATCCATATGTGTGTGAGGCAGTATCTAATTATGGATTTGATTTGCATTTCTCTAATGATTAGTGATGATTTTCTCGAATATTTTGGCTATTTATCTACCTTATTTGGAGAAATGTCTATTCAAGCCCTTTACCCATTTTTTAATTGGGTTGTTTGTTTTCATATTCCTTGACATTTTTAAAATAGCCCTCCTGAAGATCAGGGAATCACTTGGTGGGTGATTTTTAGATTATCCTCTTTAACGCACATGTCTTAGAGACTTCTTGGTCCACACATTTCACTAATACATGGTTTCCCTAATTCTCTGTAGATTACTTCCCTATATTTTTGTAGTAAGATCCTAGATGATAGGGTCTATGTTGTTTTATGATCATCAGGTATTATAGTAAATCTTTTTGGAACGTCAGTGAACACTTGATTGACTTTTTATATTGAAAGTTCAACTGGACACTTAATTGCTATTTTTGTACTATCAGTATGTGTTCAGTCAATTTGGTTATGTTTGTTGCATTTTGTGGTAATTTAAAAAATTTAGTGTTATAAGAATAACTTTTTGGTTTTTTTTATTTTTCTTTTTTCTTTTTTTTCTTTTGGAGATGGCATCTCTGTTGCCCAGGCTAGAGTGCAGTGGTGCAATCTTGGCTTACTGCAACCTCCGCCTCCCAGGTTCAAGTGATTTTCCTGCCTCAGCCTCCCGAGTAACTGGGATTATAGGCACGTGCCACCATGCCCCAGCTAATCTTTGTATTTTTAGTAGAGATGGGGTTTTACCATGTTGGCCAGGCTGGCCTCAAACTCCTGACCTCAGGTGATCTACCCGCCTCGTCCTCCCAAAGTGTTGGGATTACAGGTGTGAGCCACTGCGCCCAGCCGAGAATAACTTTTCAAGACAATACATGAAAGACTGAGGGAAAAATTAAGAAGAGCATTCCCCCAAAATCCCTACAGTCATTTGCAGGTGGTATGTCTGCAAAGGCCAGTGTTTTGAATTCTAGTGAAAATAAATTTTCCAGAAATAGTCTTATGCCTGCCATCTACTTTCTTTCTTTTTTTCTTTCTTTCTTTTTTTTTTTTTTTGAAATGGAGTCTCACTCTGTTGCCCAGGCTGGAATGCAGTGGCGCAATCTTGGCTCACTGCAACCTCCACCTCCCAGGTTCAAGTAATTCTTCCTGCCTCAGCCTCCAGAGTAACTGGTATTACAGGCACCCACCACCACACCCAGCTAATCTTTGTATTTTTAGTAGAGACAAGGTTCCACCATCTTGGCCAGGCTGGTCTCAAACTCCTGACCTCAGGGTGATCCACCCACTTCGACCTCCCAAAGTGTTGGGATTACAGGCGTGAGCCACCACAACCGGCCCCATCTACTTTCATATTCCATTTTGATAGTGTGCTTAAGTATTTGGGAGGATTTGCTAATCGTGCTTTTTTCCTATGGGCTATACACAGACTACTAAAACAAGATTCCCCTACTCACTGCACAAAGAACGTTAGTCTCCTGAAGGAGACAGATATGTAAATAAAACCTTATAGTAACAGTAGAATGGTGTGTCATAAAAGGTACATTGAGTGACTAAGATGTGTGGAAAATTATGGAACTATTTGTAACCTATAAATCAGTGAGTTTTGTGGAAGACCTTTGAAGAAAGACTGGAAGGATAAATAGGAGTTTGATAGAAGCAGGAGAAGGACCTTCTAGGCTGAGGAAAACATGAACATGGAAGTGCCTGACTACTAATCAGGGAGTGAAAAAGAATAGGGCAACACCAGAACACGGAGGGTGAGATGAGCCCAAGTCTTTGCTCTGTTGACTTAGTGTCAGATCCTTACTTACATTCTATTTTTCAGAGTTAGGAGTCCTTGGTGGTTTTTATGGAAGGGAATGATCTGTTTGAACTTGTGCTTAAGAGAACCCTAGTGACAGTGTAAAAGAGAAATGAGGGAGGCAAGATTGGGATGTCAAAAGTTCAACTAAGAGACTGCTGCAGTAGCACAGACGAGGTGATGAAAAGCTCCACCAGGGTAAAAGTTGTGGTCATATGCAAGCACGGAAGTAATATCAACACAAATTAGCAAGTTATCTGAATGTGTGGGGTGAAGGAGAGGGAAGCACCAAAGATGAAGATTTATAAACTGGTTGACTTAAAGATGATGATTCCATTAACTTGGTTTGTAAACGGAGGAAGGAGCAGATTTGAAATGAGAAAAATAAGTTGGATTTTGCACATATAAAGTTGAAAGTGCTTGCAGGACATCCATGTGGAGATAAATGTCTTAGGTTCATTAGAAAATTCAACCTGTAGACTTTGAATGGAATAAAGATTGGAGATGTGTATTTGAAAATTACGAACAAAGACATGAGAGTTGAAACATGAATCGCTGAAATCATTGAGACAATGAAGAGAGACCTGAAATAGTATCTTGGGGGGAATGTCTACGTTTAAGAAATAGGCAGAAGAAGAGATAGTATACCAAGAAAGGTGAGTGAGAATCTCTCTAGTAACTATTCCTTAGACAGATGATTGGGGATTTTCCATATTTCTATAGCATATTGAAATGCTAAGTATCATGTGCTTTATCTGTCCCATGAATGTAAAACATTTCTGTGGGAAACTCTTATTTCACAGAATAAACTATTTTTTAATCTACAAAACATTAGTATCAGGTTTTATTAATTATTATATACTAGAAAATGAAGGTGATATAAAGAAGAAAATGTTTAACTTTTCACAAAAGCTCTGAGATTATCAGCAACATATCCCTAAATGATATTTACACTTTTTCTAAATCTAGATACCAAAGAGGATCCCTCATTGAAGGATGTTGAAGATACTATGGTGGAGACCATTGCTCTTTGCCAGAGAAATTCACATAATTTGAACCAGCAGCAACGTGAGGTAGGAGAATGACTGTTTAGGTATTTAAAAGCCTGTACTTGGCCAGACATGGTGGCCCACGCCCGTAATCCCAGCACTTTGGGAGGCTGAGACAGATGGATCACCTGAGGTCAGGAGTTCAAGACCAGCCTGACCAACATGGAGAAACCCCATCTCTACTAAAAATACAAAAAATTAGCCGGGTGTGGTGGTGCATGCCTGTAATCCCAGCTACTTGGAAGGCTGAGGAGGTAGGAGAATCGCTTAAACCCAGGAGGTGGAGGTCGTGGTGAGCTGAGATTGCACCATTGCACTCCAGCCTGGGCAACAAGAGTGAAACTCCGTCTCAAAAAAAAAAAAAATAAAGCCTGTACTTGTCTGAAACTAGGAATCAGTTATGTTTCGGCCCTCTCAGCCACCTGGGCTTAATTCAAGTGGATTTTAATCACTTCTTAGTGTTCCCAGGAGTAGGAGACTCCCAAAGTTATTATAAAGAGTGTGTGGCCTCTTTGTTCTCACCAAAGGCTTTATATTCATGGTTTGGATGTGCTGCAATACTTAAGGTGCGTGAATACTAGATATGCCTGTTCTCTTTGGACTGAAATTTTGTGTATTTCATGTAGTTGTACCAGAGATAGGTCATATTTTATCATCGTCTCTATTCCCTGTGGTGAAAGTGAGCATGAAGAACTGGAGGAAAGCCCTTAAGGGCTGTAGAGAAAGCTGAAGAAAGGTTAAAGAAGGCTGTGGTGTAGTCATTGTCAACCTTGGTTGCACACTACAGTCACCTGGGGAGCTTTGAACAATTCTAGTACTCAAGCTGCACCCCAGATCAATTAAATTAAAGTCTCTGGCAATGAGACCCAGTCACCACCATGTTTTAAAGCTCCCTTCATGATTCCAATGTGCAGCCAGGGTTGGAACCAATGCTATCACAGATCCCAGATGGCACAAAAGAAGAAAACAAAACTGAAGGAGGTATCACTGAACAGCAGGTGCAGGTGGGAGTTACAGCAGTGAAGCAGAAACTAAGGGGGCGAGATGTGATTTGATAGTTAAATTCTGCAGTAGTTTTAAGAAGTAAAGTTGTATCATGATATGGCTTAACTCCTTGCCTGCCCTTCCACGGCTCAGGTCTCTGACTTGGCACTGCCTGGCCTCTCTCTAATGCCTGGGTTTTGAAATGGGGAACAGGTTAATTATATATCTATATTTAGCCATACATGTTACAGTAAAAACAATAAATCATGGCATATTTTCTGTTCTTCTGAGATGAGTAAATTTCTCCTTTAAGTTTTTGTCCAGAATTTTTCAAGGTCGTAAATTATGAAAAGTCTTAGAATGTAAATTGTGTATAACAAGCCCATTTACATAAATGTGATGGTTTTTCTTTATTAAAAGAAACTTTCTGTGAAATGATACATATTTGTGATTTTTTAAAATCATGAAATATAGAAAGTTATGCAGAAAATTGTTTTTTTTGTTTTTTTTAAAATATTTTATTATACTTTAAGTTCTAGGGTACATGTGCACAACGTGCAGGTTTGTTACATATGTATACATGTGCCATGTTGCTGTGCTGCACCCATTAA